CTTCTACAATCGGTACCTATTTCCTGCTTCTTTTTACTCCTGAGAAAAATCAGCAGTTTTGTTGGCGGTTTGGTTTGAACAGCGCAACACCAATGTAATATGAGTACGAGAAAACTAAATTAAATCATGTAGCAAACATCGCTCGATAGCTAAACCAATCATGTTTCAACACAAGGTTGACCAAGCTAAACCAATCATGTTTCAACAAGATATTGATCAAGGTTACATTAAGCATGGCGAAATGTTTCACCCAGCATATGTTAGCCTGCGAAAACAGCCGTTTCTCCTCGCTCTTCGTCGCTGGAGACGTTTCGCGAGGAGGAACGTCTGCGACTTAGCGACAGAAATTCCATACTGATGACGTACATCAATGTTTACATAATAAATCCGGTAGGTATGGGTTTCCAAATGCAAATTGGTTCAATTTTACGTTTCTTTTGGTCGATTTTGGTAAAGTGTTGTGTTCATCTGCGAACGAGAGCTCCAGCAAAATTCAAATATTTCTTTCTATAAGAATATATTCCACAAATATTGACTGATTTTTTATAGATTCATCGCGTTTACATTTGACCTTTGTAGCCTTTTGTCTTTTGTCTGCCGTTCGTAAACAATAGATAAAACAATGTAACTACTCCGTCGTAAAATAAGCGCTTATTACCGGATCCGGACAGATTTTACGTTATAAGTATGGAATTCCTGTCGCTGAGTCGCAGACCGTGTTCCTCCTGGCGAAACGTCTCCCAACGGCGATGAGCGAGGAGACTTCCTTCAGTTTCCTTATTCGTTTTAACGGCCCGTGCAGCTGCTTCATTTTCAGCTAATTGTGCACGGACAGCGCGAGTCAAACAAATGCGCCGATCAATCCCCCGGGGGGGAGGGTACCGCCATATATGGGCTATATAGGTATGTGCCTCTGTGAAGGGTATGGTTTTCAAGCAGTTTACTCTAGGATAGGGTATATAAATCAGAGCGTTTGGATCTAGAATAGGGTATCAGTTTTTAGGAAACTGATCAGTTGGTTGAAGATTTTATCTAGACTAGGGATTGTGGTATAAGGTTTTGTTTTGGCTAGACTGTGCTAGTACCTTCAGTAGCTTCTGGAAAACAGGGGGGGATTTGGGGAGTTTACTCTAGCATAGGGTAGCAAAATTCAGCTGAACTAGCTCTGGTATAGGTTAAGGGTTCCAGGGTCCCAGCGGCACATCCCCGGGATCAATCCCCGGTCGAGCTGCAGGAAATAAGGAAACATGCTTGATTTCAGACACATGGTTCGGCTGATACACAAGCAAGGAGAACAATCACGGTCTCAAAAATTGAACAGGTGATTTTTTTCCTTAATTTATTGTATTAATGTGTTGTTTCTTTCCGGCCACAATACAGTTAGCAATTACAAGATGCCACGTTCAGATGACTCGATCGCGAGAGAGATACAATCATCCTTGCCAAGTTGCGCTTCAACAAAATTTTCTGTTCGAGCTCTGTTTGTTATACAAAACTTGTGTCTTTCTTTGCCTCGTTTAATTTACCGGATTATAAAAGGCACTTTAAGGTATTCGTGTACCATTCCCACTGACTTGCATTGATTCCATTACTTCAGGAATCGGACATGGTCGAACATAGTTTTTCATGGTGTTATCTCATCGAGATAAGACCATGGAAAAAAGTGTTTTGAAAATGTTACCAATCGAATGCTTTTGGCCTGTGCCTGAATATAATTTCAGAAAAAATCAACAAGAACTTATTTGCATTAATTGTGTCGGACCGAGGAATTTGGAGATGGTTATTTTGTTATGTGCTTTCACCTACTTCGTGCAAAACAGTAATTTACTTTGTAACCATGGTTGGCAATGTACCATGGTCAAAAGCTGATAATACACCATGGTCACACAACACGGTCACGCCATTACCGACCATGTTCAAACATGGTCGGCAGTGAAAAACCATGCATGGTACCATGGTCAACCTCTCGCCGGGGAAGGAGGAGAAGAGAGAAAAAGCAATGGTTGCTCTCTTATTTTTTATAATGGCTACTTTGGAGATTGTTTTTGGCCGATCAAAAGCTGTTGGACGCAAAAGATCCATTTGGCGGTAATGTTTTAAAAAATCCGGCTAGATATATATTTCATTGTTATGGATGTACTCTGAGAATTGTTTACCACTACGCAAATCCGTTAACAGCTGTTTTTAGCCACGGATGCCTTCAAGCTGGTTCCATATTTGGGCAAAAATAATTCCGTGTTCTCGGATTGCATGGTTAAAAAACCCTAGCATGGTTCTAAACAAATAAGTGGAATTTAGACGCCTCGGGGGTTGCATGCCTCTGATTGATCGCATTGATATGTCATAAACAATTGGTTCATGCTTCAGCTTTCGTATGTCGAGATATGAAACACTTGGGAAGTTTGGAGAGCACTCTGCGCGCGTCGAGCAACTCTGACAGTTCTTTCGTGCCCTCCAAACGTCCCCCGTGAACCAATTGTTTACTGTAAAGCAAAGGTGCCTACCACGCACATTATAAAAATACTGCTACTGTAAGTTGTTCGCCTGCACCAAAGACATATTAGGGAGCTTAAGCAACAACGTTTTTGAGCGACGCACGTCAACCGGAAGTGGCCTTTTTTCATTTTTTGACGATGGTTTCGCGCAAATTTTCAGTCAAATCGCCTCTATGACTGTAAAGAAGCTAAGGAATACAAATTTTATATCATCAAGGCATGTTAAGAGGGAAAATACCTCACTTCCGGTTGACGTGCGTCGCTCAAAAACGTCGCTGCTTAAGCTCCCCAATTAGGCAGCTTAAGCAACGACGACGACGGTGGCAACAACGTTTCTTAAAAAGAGAATTCCACTGTTTCAAAGTTGATCGCTCCTATTCCAAGTCGTTGAATTTGAGGACTAAGGACTGTATCCAAGTTTAAGAAAAGAAATTGAAAACCGTTGCCTGGTGTTCTAGTCCTCCAAAAAACGTGAAATTAGGCTGTTTCACGTAGTGGTCGTGCAACCACGACAAAAGAAATGTACAGAAAGCGTGATGTACGTGCAAAGTTGTTGTTTTACTAATCTATTGCTTTTTTGCTGGTTTCGTTGCGATCATCGTCGTTGTTGCTTAAGCTCCGATCCCTAATCTAAATCTGGATAGTAAGGTCTGAGGAGAAGCCCCGAGATCCTAGTTCTGGATCCCCAAAAGATTCAAGGAATTATCGGAAGTGCATTTAGAAACCTAATTGGCCAATCAAACAATGTCTTTTTAAGCAGGCCAATAATGGTGTGTTAATCATCGAACCCTGGTGCACTGCCGGGGACCCAGAACACGGATTTCGGCGCTGTCTCTCGGACAGACTTGACTAGCTGTTTATCTTAGTCCATGGCGCAGGCTACTCAGTTGTGATTGGATGCATTTTAGTATTTATTTCACAGAATCAAAATCCATATCAGCTTTGTGGGGCAGTAGGAGCTACTTTATTGCTTTATCAACCAAAAAATACTACTCTTACTTTATTTATTTCATTTATTTAGCATTAAAGTAGAAATGAAAAAAAAATTGAGAAAAAACGGATAACCTTAACTAAGGAGATGCCGTATGGGGTGCCGAAGGCCTATCTCGAAAGCGGGCGACTATTTAGCGACTTTGCACAATCTTCGAAATTTGGTTGAAAAATTCAGGAAATCGGTACATACATCGACTTCCACGGAAACAATAGATTGATCAGTTTCCTGTAAAAAAAATTTTAAGGCTGCGATTGATGAAGCAAGTACTTTAAAATTTCATATCTATTGAAAACTTTTAAAGTTGACCGACGTACATACGTAAAATTGAAAACAAAACTAAAGCCATATATGTCTAGTTTTTGGATGATTTTGTGCTCCGGAATTTCCTCTTGTCTCGATCAAACTTCAATAGTAAAACATCGAATTACCACACAACACTAGTGAGTTTGCCTCGTTTGCATTGGTTGCCCTCCGAAATTACTGCTTCCAAAATATGGTAATGTTCTAGAACTAGAGGGCATTTTTTCGTCTTGCCAATTGCAGTCTTCAGAAAAAGACCGCAAGTTTTAGAAAGTATCTGATGCATGACAATTTTCCTCCTTATTAAAGGAGCTGTGTCACGAAATTCATCCAAATTAGGAAATTACAAAATGCCCGTTAAATTAAGAGAAACATAAAACTAACCGCTTAAAACTTTAAAGGACGGTTCAAACAACATAACAGAAACAACAGATGCCATGGATGGGCAAAACTGAAGAAGATTGAAACAGATTGAAATTAGGGTTTTTGAAAACTGTTCAGCCTAACAGTTTTGCTAAGTTGGTCCCTGCTGCTTGCAACTTCAGAAATAATCCTCAGGAGACATATTTGTTTGTGTCAGATCTCTGATTTTGTTATTTACATGTGATTTCTTTGCTTACTTTAAGTTCCATAGCGATTGAGGGCCAGTAATTGGCAAAATTGACCAAAATGAACTGGACTGTCGTGACACAGCCCCTTTAAGTCTAAGTGTAATCTATAAGTTCAAGAGCCATTATGGCGCTTGATAAGTTATAATTAGATGGACAATAAATATCAAGCTGTTTTAAATACCTCTTTTATATTTAGTTCATTAAAATAATCAGACAGATAACACCCTGGCTAGGTCAATAGTTTCATTGCTCCTTTGTCGTAAAAACACTTATTTAGAGCCGGGATTTCATTACAGGTAGGACAGAAAATTAATCGTTTCTATTAAACAAATATAATAGTTCATATTAAATCTAATGACGATTATTTTGAATACCTGAGCATCAATTACTTTTTATTTACTAAATAAAAAGTTATTTAGGCGGCTTCAAGACAACACAAGAAAGTTCAATAACCCCTGCGCCGGCGTATAATATTTATTTACTGAAAAAAGGAGAGAAAGAAAAACTTGTCTTCTTTAACTCACAGAAAAACATTGCAAATACCCACCTAACACTTATCACAGTGGATTATAATCCTAGTCAAGTAACTCATTGGACGATATGATGTTAAGATGTTTTTTAGAAATGCGTAGAAAAATATTCTACAGTTTTGCTCAATGGTGTTATATGTCTGATCGATGATCGCTAATTATAAAACATCGATCCGATCAAACGAAATGGCTTGGTTTAGAGAACTCACATACGCTTAATGAGACTCTTTCGGTCCGTGACCTTAGTTCAGAAAAAGCTTTTCTGGGGAAATATGCAACATTGTGCATGGAGTTGATATCAATATCACAAGATACCTCATGTAATATTATAGGGATTGTTATACTTCTTTTCAATGTTTTGTTTTGTTGTTCTGTTTAATGAGCTGCATTATTTTTCTTTGCTCCAAGGGATCGAAAATGCACGTTCTATTCGTTATTTTTCCATTTGCCACTTTCCAAGCTGTTTGTAATGGCTTCACGTACGGTGAACCTGAAGTAAATCATCTTGCTGCGAACACCTTTAGGGACGTACATCGAAGACTGAAGCGTTCATTGGGTATGTATGCAGAGTTCAATTTGTCCTGATCGTTGAAATTTCCGACTTCAGCCCTCGCTCATCTTGTATTTATTCACAGTGCCAGGAATAAGAACTATGATTAAGTCTGATTTTGGTGAAGAAATATTTCTTCCAAGTTAATGAATTTTGAGCAGTTCAGCGTGATATATTAAAGTTAATTAAGAAAATATATTTAGTAATTAGCACAGAGTCGGGAACATGTAATTCGGTATCCTTCATTAAAATTTCGCAAACCTGAGCAAGAAGTCTGCAAGACATGCTTAACGATCAACATTAGTATGAAGAACATACAACTATTTATTCTCAGGTTTGTTTCAGTAGTTTTAGCGCTTAGAAATGTTACCGATATTGAGCAGGAAATAATTAACAAAGTAACTTTAATTAAAGTATTAGTGCTTGTGTTTGTTTGTAAAGAACTTCTTATATTTGAAGTCCAGTCCAAGAACTCGTTGGTCTCGGGTAATCTGAAGGAACGGAAGAGCTTAACTTTTGATCGGACTTTTTTCAGGAGCCAAAATTCGCCACTTTAGAAACGAGAAGGAACCTGGGCCGAGTTAACTTTCGCAAAGGCTTCTGGGACTGTTGATAGAGACAAAAAAAGAAAAACAATTGGCCAATAGCTGACTGGCGAGTCCCCAATAACGATCCCAGAAAGTCTCCCAGAAACAATTGCGGGACATATATCGGCTCCAGTTCCCTTCTCGTTTGTAACGTGCAGAATGGTTGTGTGGCTGCAGACCTCGAAAATGTAGCCAATCACAGTGAAGCAGTAATGAGTGAACCACTGCGACGACGGTACAGAAAACGTCCGTTTTCGTTTATTTAAGCTTCAAAGTCTTTCTTGCCAGGTGTGGGCGAATTTTAGCGTAGTTAATTATCAACTTTTTAGAGACCACATTCAAGATAAATAAAAGAAATAAAAATTCGCCGTCATTCGTTCGCGTCCTCCACAAAACTGAAAGTGAAATGAGGCAATTTCATTTCGTAGTCGTGTGTTGCCGGCAACTGACAAATGTACAAAAAGGGTGGTGCACGCCGACGTACAGTGTTTTTTTTAATCATAAACCAATTGTTTCTTTTTTTTAATACAACGTTCTCGCTGCAGTCGACGTCGTTCTTGCGATAACTCCCTATATAATAAATCATGCGGCTATATATACTAGCCATTTTACCTAAGGGCAAATGACTGTTGCCCAAGGGGAAGCAACTGTTCGTGTGACCGATTTTCCCGAGGTCAAACTGCCTTGGGCAAATTTCCATGGATACGAAAAAAGGAACAAAAGAATTCCTCATGGCAGTTCCCGACTCGTAGTCCTTTGCTCCCGATAGAACCTCCAGCCTCTTCTCTTGCCTCAAGTTCTCTCTTGAAAATATCAAACAGATGATCTGCCAGTCATCATCTCCTATTTCTCTTAGAAATCCTTAGAATCTTTAGACAGCTTGTTCATCAAGACAGATGACAGCAAACCCCCTTAAATTATTTACGAGATTTACAAGATACACAGATCATCAACATGGCTACAAGAACAGAACACGGTTTTCGCACACTTCCCTAGAGCACTTGCGAACTCCTAAGCCTTACGTTATCGAGCATAAACTTTTTACACAGAAAATTTCCCGCGAATCAGCATTCAAGTATTTTCTTCCCCTTGAGAAGTTTATTGTCGTGTAACCGCAAACATGAAAGTGATCATAACCAAAGCGAATCCAACCCAAGTTATTTCCCCAAGGAAAGCTTTGGGAGAAAGGTCTCTTGTTAATGCACTTAACACGAGACTCAACAGCTGGCCATTGGTTGACCATTACCGAGTGATTAAAATGGTGAACAAAATTCAGGGTACCTGATCTCAATCGCTTCTCTGATGAATATCTTTATCGTTATTTCTTAGTGTGTGGTCCAGAACAGGTGGACAAAATGCCGGGATCATGTGCACTTTACAAAACGTTTGGCTTCTGCACTGCAGCTTTACTTACACCATTCATGACAACAAGTTGTCCCGTAACTTGTAGATTCTGTGGTAAGGCGAATTGATTAACAAATTTCAGAATGAATATTAACATATCTGAGAATTGAGCTTGGTTTCTGTAATGGAGCAAAGCTGCGCCGCAATGATCTTAAAGTGGGTAGTCACATATTGGATAGGTTTCTGTTACTCTTCGTCGCAGTGAGAACGTTAGCTATGGAGCGAGTGCCTGAAATGTATTTCATGAAAGTATCATGCACACAAGAGATATTCATAAAATTCTTTTGAAAAAAAAGTATCAAGCAACAAAGCTTGATTAATACTGTTGGAAAATGTATTCGAACTGAACTTACAAAAAAGACAAAGAATCAGAAGAATACATGGTTCAATGTTTCGGACTGCCAGGAGTTCACTGGTTTTTTGGACTTGTCACGCGCTAAAAACATGGTTCGAGTTATCGAGGGTAAAATTATTTAGAAATGACCTGAAGGAAAACAACATTTACTTCGAGTTAGCGGGAGGTTCGGGTTCAAGTAGATCCCTTTTGAGACACCCTAAATTAGCAGGAAGATGATAAGTTTCTAGCCTCTCTTTTGTTTTCAGTGCCATGCATACCAGACCAACGTCCGTTATCGTTTTGTACACGTTATAAAAGATTTGGCTTTTGTGTAACAAGCAACCAGAGCATTAAGCAATTTATGGAGACAAATTGTTACAGCACGTGTGGATTTTGTATCGGTAAGATTCAGAACAAATAATGATAACAATAATGATAACAATAATCCCATTATGATGAAGATTGATGGCGTTACTTCTACACTGAGGTAGCCTAATGCATAATCATTTTTCCCTCTGAAAACATCTACACCAACTACCTCAAGTACGTCAGCTCTTGATTCATAAGCATATCTAGAGTACTGGCTAATGGGAAACTTGTGCAAAAAATATTTGGATTGAAGTTAATTCGTTTTCACTTCATTGTTTTCAGTGCCTACAACCACGCCTGCCCCGACAACGACATCTGAAGGTAAGAAAGAGATAGTTATTAGGCAATAACTAGCAGTAGTGATGATGATGGTGGTGATGATGATCATCATATAATACAACTGGAGAGACGAAAATATAACTATGAAAAGCTTATAGTACTAGTTAACAAGAAAATTCCCTGTATTTCATATGCAAAAAAATTGGATTGAGGTTTATTTATTTTCATTGTTTTCAGTGCCTACAACCATGCCAGCACCGACAACGACGCCTGAAGGTAAGAAAGATAGAAATATTTATTAACCAAAAACTAAGAAGCGATGATGATGATATTTTAATTGGGGAATCTCGTCTTAAGTTTTAATGCATACCATATGTAGTGTTAATTAAGGAGGAAGTTCCTGGTTTGTCTTGTTGCAAGAACATTTGGATTGAAGTTTATTCGTTTTCACTTCATTGTTTTCAGTGCCTTCAACCGTGCCTGCTCTGACAACGAAACCTGAAGGTACTAAAGGGTTATTTATTCGACAATAACTGACAGTGGGGATGATGGTGATGATGATGATGATGGTGATGATGATGATGATAATGTTGACGATGATAATGATTATGATTATGATGATGGCTGTATAGTGTAACAGGATAGATGACAACAACAGTCGGCAATGCTCATGTTACTAGTTAAAAAATATCCTGTTTGCAAATATTATTTGGATTGCATATTGTTCGTTTTCACTTTTCAGTGCCTACAACTATGCCATCACCGATAACAACTCCTGAAGGTAAGAGAGAGATACTTATTAAACAATAACGGAGGTAATGATGATGATATAATGATAATGATGATGATGATGATGATGATGATGATGATGATGATGAAAATAAAACAGAAGAGAGTCGACTTTAGTATGAAATGAAAACACATGAAGTATTTTAAGAAGGAAGCTCCTGGGTTGTCTTGTGCTAAAAAATATTTGGATTGAAGTTTTTTCGTTTTTAATTCATTGTTGTCAGTGCCTACAACCATGCCTGCCCCGACTACAACGCCCGAAGGTAAGAAAGAGATATTTAGCACACAGTAAATATCAATAATTGTTCAGCTTGGAATGTGGCGTGCCTCAGGGTTTCTGTCTAGGTCCCATACTATTTACGCTGTATAGGAGTAAGCTCTCTGAGACCGTCAAAACTCATCTGCCTGAAGTTCATTGTTATGCAGATGATACACAGGCTTACATTTCGCTAGTCAGGCCAGCTTTCAGCCTAAAAAGGCATGGAAAATCGTGGATATTCGTTTTTGGATGACAATCTTAAATTGAACATCGACAGGAGGACTGAATTTCTCATTATTGGCACACCATGACAGCTGGAAAAGGTCGACATCACGAGTATCTGCGTGTTTAACCCTGACATTCATCCCATTCCCACTGCAAGGAATCTCAGTTCATGGTTTGACTCTGGGCTGTTCATGTCTAAATAAACATATTACAAAGATCTGTGGCTCTGCATTTTTCTATTTGTCCAACATACGACACATCAGGAATTATCTCTCACAAACGTCGACCGAGAGACTCATTCATGCATTCGTATCCAGTTGTCTTGACTACTGCAACAGGTTATTACATGACCTGCCTGATTTCTTACTAAATAAGCTACAACGTGTATAGAATGCTTGTGCTTGACTGATTTTTAATGAACGCCGCTTATTATGGAGTTACACTGGTTACCAATTAGATCTAGAATTGAGTTAAAATTCTTTTGATTAATTTTAAGATTCTTCGTGGTTTAGCCCCGTCTTATTTATCATCTCCTATTACTCTTAGGCGTCCATCACGATACAATCTTAAAAATTCCAATGATAATCTTTTACAGCGGAACCCCGCCTTACGGCCATCTCGGTAATACAGTCACCTCGTTATTACGGCCACTTTTTTTGGCCGCCCTGCAAAACGACCATACGTTTTCTTGTAAAAAAAAAACGTCGTTAATACGGGCACCCGTTAATACGGCCAATTTTTTGCCCCATTGGTGACCGTATTAACAGGGTTCCACTGTAGCGATATAGATGATGACAATATAATGAAACTGGAGAGTCTGGACAACAGTCAAAATTCCAAATACATGTAATGTTATAGTTTAGAAGGAATTACCCTGTTTGTTCTGTTCCAAAAAATATTTGGATTGAAGTTTATTCGTTTTCAATTCATTGTTTCAGTGCCTACAACCATGCCTGCCCTGACAACTACCCCTGAAGGTAAGAATTACAGATTTATTTATTACATAATAACTAACAGTAGGGATGATGAAAAGAAAATATATGACTGCTTACTTCAAATTCTTTAATTTTACAAACAAACGACTATCCTGATCTAACTATCTTATTAGGATAAATGCAACATATTCAAAATCGTCCGTACTTCACCCACTTTTTATCTTTGCGATCATCTTAATAGTGTACTTGTAAACCTCTGACTTATATTCTGTATTCCAGTTAATCTCGGCAATGGTTTTAACGTATTAAACCTTTCTTCTTATATATTTATATAAGCTTAAATAACTTTTTGTTGACCTGTTAATATAATACCATTTGAAGTGCGTATTTTGTTTTATATGGACACTACTCACCTAGACTAGCCTTTGCTATTTGTGCGCAGTGAGAAAATTAAATTGTAAATATCTTAATGAGCCAATAAATGAAATGAAACTGATGATGATGATGATCAAATAATACAAATGGATAGACGTCGACATCAGTCTTCAATGTTAATGCTTCTAAATAATGAGGAACTTTGCAGTTTGTCTTGTGAAAAGATTATCTGGATGAAACAATTTTTCATTTAACTTCAACGTTTTCAGAGCCTACAACCACGCCTCCCCCGACAACGACTACTGAAGGTAAAAAAAGAGATATTTATTAAGCAGCAACTAAGGAAATGATGATGATGATGATGATGATGATGATGATGATGATGATAAGACAGAGGAGTCTCGACATCAATATGAAATGCATATACGTGTATAGTATTATTTAAGAAGGAAGTTCCTGGTTTGTCTTGTGCAAAAAAAAATATTTTACTCGTTTTCACTTCATTGGTTTTAATGCCTACAACCATGCCTGCCCTGACAACGACACCTGAAGGTAAGAAAGAAATATATTTAGCACCAAGTGACTAACAGTAGGGGTGATGATGATATAATACAATTGGATAAACGAAAACATCAGTCTAAAATGCTTATGTTTATTCATTTTCGTTGGTTTTAGTGCCTACAACATTGCCTGCCCCAACAACGACACCTGAAGGTAAGAACGAGATATATTTAGCGCACAGTAACTAACAGTAGGTTCGATGATGATGATGATGATGATGATATAATACAATTGGATAGACGAAAACATCAGTCTAAAATGCTTGTGGTACTAGTTAAGAAGAAAATTCTCAGTTTGTCTTATGCAAAGTCTATCTGGATTGATGTTTATTGATTTTCGTTGTTTTTAGTACCTACAACCATGCCTGCCCCAACAACGACACTTGAAGGTAAGGACGAAATATATTTAGCGCACAGTAACTAACAGTAGGTTCGATGATGATGATGATGATGATGATGATGATATAATACAATTGGATAGACGAAAACATCAGTCTAAAATACTTGTGGTGCTAGTTAAGAAGGAAATTCTCAGTTTGTCTTATGCAAAGACTATTTGGATTGATGATTATTGATTTTCGTTGTTTTTAGTGCCTACAACCATGCCTGCCCCAACAACGACACTTGAAGGTAAGGACGAAATATATTTAGCGCACATTAACTAACAGTAGGTTCGATGATGATGATGATATAATACAATTGGATAGACGAAAACCCCCTCGAAAATGCCTATGGTACTAGTTAAGAAGAAAATTCCCAGTTTGTCTTATGCAAAGACTATTTGGATTGATGTTTATTCATTTTTCGTTGTTTTTAGTGCCTACAACCGTGCCGACACCGACAACGACCCCTGAAAGTAAGAAGGAAATATTTATTAAATAATGACTAAATTAGCAAAGTAGATAGTGATTATATTATAAAACTTGAGAGTCTCGACATCAGTCTAAATGGAAAATACATGTGGTATTAGTTAAGAAGAAAGATCCCAGTTTGTCTCGTGCAAAAAAATATTTGGATTGAATTTAATTCGTTTCTACTTCATTGTTTTCAGTGCCTACAACCATTCCAGCACCGACCACGACACCTGAAGGTGAGAAAGAAATATTTATTAAACAATATTTTACAGTGCGAAAGATGATGATGGTGGTGATGATAAACACTTTGATACAATACAAATGGATAGGCGACTACATCAGTCTGTAATGTTTAATATACTTCTAATTAACAAGGAAATTCCCAGTTTGTCTTATGCAAATAAATTTTGAACTTCGTTGCTTTCAGTGCCTACAACCATGCCAACACCGACAACGTCGGCTGAAGGTAAGAATTGGTAATATTCATCAAACAATAAGATAATTAGCAATTATTGAATGAGGCTGAGTAGGAAGAATTCTGCAGATCAAGGAGGGTGTTGTCTACCGAGGCCGAAGGCGGAGGTGGATAACACCCTCCGAGATCTGCAGAATTCTTCATATCCTGCGTTAGCATCCTGTGATAGCCGAATTCAATAATTGCATTATTATTCATTCAAAATAATTCCAACTTTAAAAACAAGCTAAAAATGCGTACCTCGGTCGATATTAAGTTCACATCGATAGTGCATCTTTTTCGGGAAATTTAGCAGAAAAAGGTCTGCTCAGGTCTGCAAATATACTCCAAATAGCAGATGTTGTCCGTCGAGTTGACTTCTCGCTGTTCTTGCTATGTTTTTGGACAATACTTCGCCGTGAAACGAGTACAATTTCCGCACGCCATTTCCGCCATTTTGTTTAAACCGATGACGTCATTTTGACGTCATCGGTTCAATATGACAGGTCAGCCGCTGGTTATGGTGAATTATGCGTGTGGTTTTATCCAATCAGAAACAGGGAAATATTTTGAATGAATAATAATGATGATTAATACTTCTTGAGAGACGAAAATATCAGTCCGAAATGCTTATAGTACCACTTGTGAAGAAAATTCTTAGTTTGCCTTGCCCGAAAAATATTTGGGGTTAAGTGCCTACAAGTATGCCAGTATCGACAACGACGCCTGAAGGTAAGAAAGAAGTATCTAGTACACAATAATTAATAGTAGGGAAGATGGTGATTTTGATGATAAACACGATAATATACTACAACTGGAGATAGGACTACATCGTTCTGTAATGTTTATACTTCTAAATAAAAAGGAAATTCCCAGGTTTGTCTTCTGCAAATAATATTTGAAGTGCGTGTTTTGTTTTTGTTGTGTCTTTTCATTGTTTCAGTGCCTACAACCATACCAGCACCGACAAAGACGCCTGAAGGTAAGAATTGGTAATATTTATTAGATAATATAACAGGCCGTATTGATGACGATAATAATAATGCGATGATGATGATGATGATGATGCCTAACACTTCCAAAGACACGAAAATATCAGTCCGAAATGCTTATAGTACTAGTTAAGAAGAAAAATTCTAGTTTTATCTTGCGCAAAAAATATTTGGATTGCGGTTTATTCATTTTCATTGTTGGCTGTGCCTACAACTCTGCCAGCACCGACAGCGACTCCTGAAGGAAAGAAAGACAAAACAATAAGTAAAGTAGCGATGATGGTGATGATGATGATGATCGTGATATTATAGAACTGAAGAGTCTCTATATCTGTCTAAATAGCAATACTTGTAGTATTAGTTAAGAAGGAATTCCCAGTTTGTCTAGTGCAAAAAATATTTGGATTCAATTTAATTTTTCATTGTTTTTAGTGCCTACAACCATGCCTGCCCCGACCACAACGCCTGAAGGTAAGAATTAGTAATATGTATTTATTGGACGGCATTAATGAGAATGATGATAATGATGACGACGATGATAACGATGATGATGGCTAATACTTCTGGAGAGACGACAGAATCAGTCCGAAATGCTTATACTTTACTCGTTAAGAAGAGAATTATTGGGACTAAGGTTGATTCGTTGTTTTCAGTGCCTACAACCATGCAAACACCGACAACGACGCCTGAAGGTAAGAAAGAAGTATCTAGTACACAATAATTAATAGTAGGGAAGATGGTGATAGAGATGATAAACACCATAATATAATACAATTGGAGATAGGACTACATCGTTCTGTAATGTTTATACTTCTAAATAAAAAGGAAATTCCCACTTTGTCTTCTGCGAAGAATATTTGACCTGAGTTTTTTGTTTTTGTTTTGTTTTTTCGTTGTTTTCAGTGCCTACGACCATGCCTGCACCGACAAAGACGCCTGAAGGTAAGAATTGGTAATATTTTTGAACAATAACCGACCGTATTGACGATAATGATAATGCGATGATAATGATGATGATGATGATGATGACGATGATGACTAACACTTCTAAACAGATGAAAATATCAGTCCGAAATGCTTATATTACTCTAAGAAGAAAAATTCTAGTTTTATCGTGCGCAAAAAATATTTGGATTGCGGTTTATTCATTTTCATTGTTGGCTGTGCCTACAACTGTGCCAGCACCGACAACGACGCCTGAAGGTAACAAAGACAAAACAATAAGCAAAGTGGTGGCGGTGTTTATGATGATGATCACAATATTATAAAAATGAAGAGTCTCGATATCAGTCTAAATTGCAATATTTGCAGTATTAGTTAAGAAGGGATTCCTAGTTTGTCTAATGCAAAAAATATCTGAATTTCTTTTTTTTTCCATTTATTGTTTTTAGTGCCTACAAGCATGTCTTCCCCGACAACAATGCCTGAAGGTAAGAATTAGTAATATTTATTTGACTGCATTAATGAGAATGATGAGAATGATGACGACGATGAAACGATGTTGATGGCTAATACTTCTGGAAAGAAAACAGTATCAGTCCGAATTACTTAATATACATTACTCGTTAGACTAAGAGAATTTTTGGGACTACACTGTTTTCAGTGCCCACCATCATGCCAGCACCAACAACGACTCCTGAAGGTAAGAAAGACGAGAGAATGACTAAAGAATATCTAAAGTAGCGATGATGATGATGATAAAGTTGATGATGTTGATGATGCTATGATAAAACAGGAGAGTTTAGACAGACATCTGTTTGAATTGCAGGAGGAAGTTCCCGGTTTGTCTTGTGCAAAGAATATTTGAATTGAGGTTTATTCGTTTTCACTTCATTGTTTTCAGTGCCTACGACTATGCCTGTCCCGACATCAACGCTTGAACGTAAGAAATAAATATTTAGTACTCAATAATTTAAACAGTAGGGATGATGATAATGAAGATAATGATGATGATGATGATGATGATGATGATGATGATGATGATGATGGTGATGGTGATGGTGATGGTGATGATGATGATGATGATGATGATGATGATACAATACAACTGGATAGACGATAACATCAGTCTGTAATGTTTATACTACTAGTTAAAAAGGAATTTCCCAGTTTGTCTTGTGCAAAACATATTTATGTTGAAGTTAATTCCATTTTTTTAGTTGCTACAACTACTACAACACCTACAACGTCGCCTATGGGTAAGCAATTATTGGATTCGACTTAATTTCGCACGATCTGCTACCTTTAATTAAGAATGTTGAATAATCACTGCCGGAAAACTCATATTAAATTGGCCTCAGGGTATTACCAAGTTTTGAGGATTTAAGAACTTAAACTCGCTCACCAACCAATCGTTCCGTCAATTTTTATTAGGATCCTCGTTTCCTGAACCCTCCAACGTTGAACATTTTCCTTGTTTTCCGAAAACTAAGTTGCGTTTTTTTTTTCAGGTCTGATCTGTTTGTCTCCATGGTTTTAGTTACCCGCGTTGGCCTCCCTTTCTCGTAAAAAAAAAAACAAACAAGCTTGACTCGTCTTAGCCTGCCTGGGAATACTAAAATTGCTTATTGACGCAGTAAAATGACATTTAATGTATTTCTTTATTCGCTGTCTAAAATTATGTTTGAGACACCTAACATTTTCAGCAAGGTAATAAATATGTAGCCATCCTTTTGTTTTCAGTGTTGTGCATACCAGACCAACGGCAGGAGTCGCTTTGCAGAACTTATAAAGGATTTGGCTTCTGTGTAACGAGCAACCAGAGCATTAAGCAATATATGGAGACAAATTGCTTCACCACCTGCGGATTTTGTACTATTGGTAATAATAATAGTTTAGGTTTCTCCAATTAACACAATCATCATCATTGAACATAATCCTAATTGACTAGTCCACAAAGAACCTTTAAGACGCACAGGACAGAAACAAAATGCACAGGTTCGCAGATAAACCAGTCATTAAGTGGTATGGTATATAGCCTACGAAAACAATGTATAATGTATTCCTGCGAAAGTTAATGAGATTCCTGTGCAAAAAGAGGAGAGAAACACCCATATTACACCACTACAAACTTTGATGAATAAAGTGCACGCTCAGCTTTTTACCATTTAATTTGTTAACAAAGTAACAATGAAGATAATGATAATGATGGTGGTGATGATGATGATGATGACTAACAAATCTAGAAAGACGACAATATCAGTCTAAGATGCTTATGGTACTAGTTAATAAGAAAGAAATATCCAGGTTTTATTGTCTTGTGCAAGGAATATTGGGAACGAGTTTTAATCATTTTCCTTGCTTTCAGTGCCTACAACCACGCCTGCCCTGACAACGTCGCCTGAAGGTAAGAAAGAGATATTTGTTAAACAACAACTAGAGAAACAATGATGATGATGATGATTATATTATAAAGCTAGAGATGCCACAATAACGATTTGAAATAAATATCGAATTTGTCAAGAAGGAAGTTCCCAGTTTGCCTTGTGTCAAGAATATTTTAAATGAAGGTTTTTCCTGTTCACTTTATTTTTTCAGTGCCTACAACCACGTCAGCACCGACCACGTCGCCTGCGGGTAGGAACGAGATATTTACGAAGCAACGACTAATATAGTGATTATGATGATGAATATGATAACGATGATAATGAAGACAATAATGATAATGAGGATACTGATGATGATATGAAACAACTGGATAGACTACATCATCAGTCTGAAATGCATAAAGTACTAATATATTATTAAACCAGAACCTTTCCAGTATGTCCTCCCCCAGCTGTACAGAGAATTTTATCTTCAGATTGAGATTTATTCGTTTTAGTTTCACTCCCGACAGCGAGCCGGCAGGTAAGAATAAACAAAAATGTCAAGTGATAGCCGATTCTTTAGAAGATGAAAGAGATAACTATTAAAAATTGACAATAACAATGATGATTTTTACAATGATTTTAAAGATTATAACTAGGACGTTGATGGCGATTCACGGTGAGGCCAAACCACCCCCTAATGCATATTGCATCAATGCGTGGGTAGTTGTGTTATTTTACAATAACTTTGTAGGCTTGTTAGCCTTTTAATTTTCACGAAAGTGGGTCTGAAAATGCAAAATGTCAGGCCAATTAAATTAGTTGTTGGTATGTCTTAAAATATTCAGTTATGACGTCGTGTTTGCAGACCTGAGTTTGACACAAAAAGTTTGGTGACGTCACAATTTGTACTTCTAACTAAAAAATCCAAAAACACGTTTTCGGTCATTAATCGTAGTCCATCGAGCAAGTTTGGTTGACAAATAACAAAAATCGTAAGAAATACGTAAATTTAGCACTCATGCAACATTTAAGGGGTGGTTTGGCCCCACCGTGTATTGGTCACAATATAAATGAGGATAATGATGATGTCGACATTTTACCGACATATGACAACATCTGAAATCTTGTTGGTGAACAAGAAAATTCCCAGTGCCTTTCTAGTGACAGGGTTTAGGTGTTAGCTTAAAGAGTACTGATGCATACAAGGACGCCATGATCTAAATAAAGCGTTGTATCACAATACTGCTTATAGTGCTTGGTAAGTGCACGTTCGATATATTAAAATTCTAATATGAGTCCAGGCTTTAGGAACAAAATTACAAATGTTTCACGACTCCATTGTCTCGCAATTCCCGGAAGAGACTTGAGCACAAAGAAAACCAAGCCAAATATAGAATAAAGACCAGAAAGCCTCGGAGTCATCATTATAGATGTAAGAATTTTAATCTATCGAACGTGAGTTATTGAAACAGATTTTTGTACGAAAAAGAGAATGGTTTCTTTCAAAGCGGAGACTACATGCATACAGTGTTACGGGATTAGAAGTATTTAGAGGACGGAAAATGTTGGTAAGGGGTCAAAACGGTAGAACAAAGCACCCCAAAAGCTTAGTGACTTATTATACGTCTTTGTATGAATTTTTATTTTACAGTCAACGGCAGTTGGTCTATGTGGGGAGTCTGGGGTGTCTGTAGTGTTACATGCGGGGGTGGACAGCAGGTGCGCAGACGAGCTTGTATTAATCCACCGCCATCAGAAAGTGGCGCTGATTGCGTGGGAAACAGCAGCCAGACTCAGTCATGCAACAGCAATCTATGTCCAGGTATGAATTTCTTTATGGTTGTAATTGGGTTACCGTATTTATTCGATTAAGCGCCCTGGGCCCTTCTTAAATTTTTGTACCTTGAGAGTGGGCGCTTCTTGAATTTTCACAATTTGCGGCAACAGCGATGGGTGGTTATTCGAGGTTCAGAGCTTAGTTTAATAAATACGGTAAGTAGAAAAGATAACTCAGGATTTAGTCTTCAAGTGTTTGAAATACTTAAATCAAAAAATCTTACCGGTAAATTGAAAACTTTTTAGCGCGTTTCATGAGGACACTGATAATTTTCCAATAACTGGAAGCCGCGAATTCCACTTAGCCACATTACGATAGCGTAAACCTAAGTGTTGTCGATGCTCATGAGTTCTTATAAATATTTTTATAAATACCAAACAATGAAAATATATCTGATAGTGAAAACCGCAGTACCGTTTTGAATCATGTCGCCCCACGTAAGGGAATGCGGGCTCCGGAATCCGGGAAATTTTTGCTCGTGTAATCCGGCATTCGGGAACATTTTGCTTGTGGAATCCGAAATACTGGAATTTGGAATCTGGAATCCCACTAACGATTAAAATCCAGAATCTAAGTTTCACTGAAAAAGACTGGAATCCAGTACCTGGAATCCGGAATCCACGGCGTGGAGTCCAGAATCCAAGACTGTCTTGGAGTTTCTTGCATGGGAAGAATCATGGACGAGATAAATAAGTATGCATGGATGTTTCTCCACAATCTTTGTTAGGCTTCAGTGCATGGTCAGATTGGAGTAACTGGAGTTCCTGCAGTCAGAGTTGTGGGGTTGGCTTACGAATACGCACTCGCGATTGCTCCAATCCCCCTCCAACAACTCCAGAAGCTTTCTGCAAAGGTGAAAATTTCGAGATAGAGAACTGCAGCACGACTGGATGTGTGGGTGAGACATAAGTTTTTAAATTGTATTTCTTTACTTTAAATCATATATGACCAGCGCAAACTTTGAGGCTCATTCGTTTTCATTGTTTTCAGTGCCTACAACCATGCCAGCACCGACGACGAGGCCTGTGGGTAAGAAAGAAATATTTTACAATAACTAAAGTAGCGATGGTGATGATGATGATGATTACGATGATGATGATTTTGTTGTTTATGATGATGATGATGACGATACTGATGATTATTATTTAATACAACTGGATACACAACAAAATCAGTCTGAAGAGCGCACAATTCTAATTAACCAGAACATCCCAATATGTCCTGTTGAAAGATTGTTATATCGTTTTGTTTTCAGCTTCTACAACCATTTCAACGCCGACTACTACTCCGGCAGGTAAGAATTCCGTATATCCCTTGTTAAGACCCTCAGGGGGGAAGGGGGGACTTAGGGGGGTGATATTTGTTGTAAGCACGTTTTTGGGTGTCTCAATAGAGAGGGAGTTATTTAATGTAGCTGTGACGATGATGACAATTTTGCATTCCAGCACGAGAATAAACTACTTTTTACCGGATCAGTCCACAAGAAATGTTATAATCGTGATTAACTGATGTAGCATTTGAGATTAAGAGGGGAGAGGAGAGGGACTTTATAAAACGTTCTTTCCCTGAAAAGAGAGGACTTATTCGTGGGGCTAATAATAGAGGATTAACGGTAAACACAAATGCGAACTGATAGCCAGGTTGTTACAACAGGAAAGAGATTATTATTAACCAATAACAGCAACATTGATGATGATGATGATGATGATGATGATGATGATGATGATGATGATGATGATGATGATGACGTTGATGATGATTATGATGATCTTTATGGCTATCATCATCATTAATTACTATCATTATTATCATCATCATTGTTGGATTCGGCGTGGATCCGTCTTTCGTGTTCCCCCTTCGTCGCGATTATATAGCAAAAAAGTAAGTGCGGCTGATGCTTAAAACAAACAAATCATCGTCGAGTATCTCTGCTCGCCATGCTACAAGCATGGATGAGGGCTCAAACTCGGGTCTATGAGGGGGGGAAAATCCACTTTTATAGGGCGGGACACAAACTCCGGGATCTCCGCAGTGCAAGTCCAGTTCTCTAGCCACTTGATCCGGGCACGTTAGCCAGGCCCAAGGAAATGGCTGAGATTTAAGACTGGCATGATTGAGCGCTGATAAAGCCACAATTTTCTAGTCACTTGTCGAGGGACACACACCACGGTTATGTAACCCTTTTATAGAGCTTTTTACTCTCGTGGCCAGCGTTTATGCAAATCTTTTGGAACAAAACAAAGCGTTTACATAATTCAACTTCTACAAGATTCTTCTTGGAACAGATATGGCCGCCGTGACGTCATGTGAAAATTAAACATCCTATTTTGTTAATCTGAATTTGACCGGAAACGGCCTGGATCCGCGCCTGTTGCGCGAGATTTTTTTGGCCAATCAGAGTCGAATCAGAGACCGTATAAATGCAGATACATACTTTACTGATCACTTGAACAAACCACACACAGACACCATCAGAAAGATAAAAGATCTGTAATTGTATGTTACCTAAGTTAATATTATCTGAGTTAATATTTTCGGTGTTTTTTAACGGTTCTCCTGTTCGTTAGCGACGACAACTGAAGCAGCAACGACTTTGACTCCGCTGACGGACCCGCCATCGCCTCTTAACGGAGCAGGTAAATGTTAGGGCCATTTATACGAGGAAAAATAAAACGCGTCTTACATAAGACGCGTCTTAAATAAGACGCGAACTGTACCATTTATACGAGCATGTCTTATCTAATAAGACGCGTCTTAGCTAAGCCGCGTCTTATTTTAGACGAAATGTGCCGTTTATACGGAAAGTTCGCGTCTTATTTTTCCTCGTATAAATGGCCCTATTAGCACGTTTCAAGCCCCACCCGTTTCTCAATAGTCCGGTTAAATTGACGGACCCTAAGCGGTACATCCAATCAATCAAAGTATAAAGAATAATGGTGCGGTTTCTAGCTAACAAGTCCATTCTTGCAATGAAAGAACAGTCTGAAGTTGAATTTTACAGCTTTTTGCATTGCATTCAAACCTATCAGAACTGCAATTTTACAAGCAAACATAAAACAGCTTTCCAGGCCCGGGAATTATCCGGACCTTCTTGATGAAGGCTAGGCTAGGGAAATTAGATGAATGCTTAGAAACCTCACAAAAACACCGAGCCATCATATTCATCATTGTAGAGTTTTGATAGTGAAAAATTTCGATCGTGTCGACCTTGCCGGTCTTCACATCTAGTATTACTGTACTCTTACTATGAAAATCTATATCAGAAAACTGAAGCTGTTTTTACTTCCCTAAGAAGAAGCACCCGTAATAGTGACAGTTAACAAACAAGGTCTTCATAGGTGCAGATAAATGTAAAAAATATCCTCTAGTTAGGCTTTTTTCCTGTTTGAATGAAGGGTTGAGTAGCCGTAACTATTTTAGAGCTCGGTGGACCTACCACAATTAATTAGGAGACCGCCCCACTGACGACACTGCCGAAAAAAAAAATGTCATGTTTAGTCCTGAACATTTTTTTTTTAACTCGAAAAGAGGCGGCCTGTTTGAAAGCCCACAATGATAAGCGTTCTGTTCATGGATCCCCAAGGCTGACTTGGAATGCTACACTTGCTGAGCATGCGCAGTATTGGGCTCATGAGTTGGTTCGGCTGGGTAGGCTGATGCACCAGCAGGGTATCAGTGAAGGCGAAAACTTGTTCAAGTCATCTGGTCAAACTGAAAAGACATGTGTAGATGCCGTGCGAGCATGGTAGGTTATCTTAGATAATGAAATTAGACTGCAGTTCACAGTTCCCTATTTTTTTGTATGATCGTCAGGATCGAGCTTGTACCGGTACGGGCGGTCAATCAATCAATCAATCAACTTTATTGGTACATCCAATTAAAATGGGTTTTCACATACCAATTACAATAAAATCTAATATGAACAATAGAAATCTAAATTAAACATTTGAAAGTGATAAAACATTACCATATTATTTAAAAAATATAAAATATGCATAATTACACCTATTGAGTGTCAATGGCTTAAAAAATCGTCAAGTGCACGTCCTTTAATCGCATTCTTAAAAACATTAAATGACTCTATGTCTGCTAAACTTTCTGGAAGGTCATTCCAGAGCTGAACAGCCCTATATGAGAAAGATCGCTGACCTGTTGCTGATCTAAGAGATGGTATATGAAGTTTATCTTTATTCCTTGTATTTCTAGTATTTACCTGGCTTCTTGTCGAAAACTTATTACACAAGCATGGTGGGGCTAATCCCTTTATACATTTGAAAGCCATTAAAATGTCTCTAACCTCCAGTTGCTTAGCAACCGGCAACCAGTGGAGTTCCTTTAACATCGTCGTGATGTGCTCATACTTTCCTGCGCCAGTCACAATCCGTGCCGCAAAATTCTGAACTTTTTGAAGCCTAGCAATGTTCTTTTTTGTTGTACTAGACCACATGGACGAACATGGTCATCTTGGTTTTACATGTACAGAGGGGGCGGGCGTCGGGTGTTAAAGCGAACGCCCCCTAAGTAGATTTGGCACTCATTCAAGATGGCCGCCCTTTACGCAAAGCTCTCGAGCTCGACGATCTTACGGAAAAATAGGGGACTGTGAACAGTCTACGATAATGCAGATACCAGTGACATTCAAATAAGTGACCGGTCGTGCTTACATGAAAGTTAATATAGGCGAGCTAAGGCGGTAAATGATTCTGTTGTTTAAACCTTCTAAGGTTATCGCCATATAACTATTTGTATTAATATACACTAAGAAAGGCAAAACCCTAGCGGTAAACCGGGTTTTTTCCAAATTTAGGCTTCCAGTCAGTAGGGTTTGTTGGGAACTTTGATGGTCCCAGGTTTGAAAACTAAATGACCTACTTACTGTACATAACCTTTATTATTTGCTGCCGAATAAATACTTCCCAATCCTTAAAATATGTATTTGCCGTTTAAGGTATGGCGAAATTGCACAATATAACTTCAACAACCCTGGATTTTCCCCGTCAACAGGACATTTCACACAGGTAAGAAATATCGCCTGCTATTTCGGACTATCATGGCGAGCATACTAATAATCAACTTAGAGCCTGTTTACATGGAGCTGGGGGATCCCGGGTAGGCCAGGAAGGTGAGGTAACCCGCTTACGTTGGGTAACCCGCCTGTCCATATAATCTCTCATTTGAATTTGATCATGTCTACATGATAGGTGGGTGACCATATGAGAGGTTATATTGAGAGGCGGGTTACCTCAGCTACCTGGGGTTCCCTACCTCCATGTAAAAAGATCCTTAAGGCGAGTACATTTATGTTTACCCTGCGAGCAGAGGTTTCTCCCAGTTGCATGGCTTTTAGCCATGCAACTGGGAGAAGTCGTTAGCGTGGCTTGTCTGTCGAGTGGTTAGTTTGTTTACGCCCCGTTTCTCGGGGAACGTCGTTTCGTAAAAGCCATATATGCAAGAGAGAAACCTCAGAACTTTGGTACAGATGAGGTAACATCTGCGATTGCCGAAGGCGTCAGCCGCTTAGGAGGTCCGAGGTGTTCCCCCAGGAATTTTGAAATCCAGTAATCTTTGAAACGCTGATATAAGCATTTTTCATATAAAGGTGTTTCGTCAAAACATCAGTCTTGTTTGGCCGGGGATTATTTTTCCAGTCAAACGGTTTTATTATTTTGTGTCAAAATCTAGACGATTCCTTACTTTTTGCTAGCTATACGTCCCTGGACCATCGCAAGCACTCTTCTTGTACGAGGGCGCTGTGCTATTCAGAAGTTCACTGGACGAAATCTCTCACTACTCTTGCGGTCAATTTTTTCCTCTTTTAAATTAATATGCTGGTTGCACAATGTTTAATTTATTCAGTCGATGGCCTATGCTTAAGATATCGTCGTGCCTTATGAATGAATAAGAATAGCTTTTCATTTATATGTTAGGTTGTTTGGAAGGCTACGACACAAGTGGGAGTAGCTACCATTACGGAATTACATCCTGAGACGGGAAATCTCGACACTTACGTAGTGGCTCGCTATACTCCAGCAGGAAATGTGTTAGGAAAGTTTGAACAAAACGTACTCCCAACAAGCATTATCGAAAACAACATCGACAACTGTGCTTAGGGTAAGAATGTTTAGTAAGTGTCTTAGGACAGTGTTTAATGAAAAGACTTCTTATGACTGGTTCTTCTCGAGCATTGCAAGTTTTGTCATTTATGTCACGTATAGGGACTGTGTCACGGTTGACAAGTTCATCTTGTTAATAATGCCAGTTACGGGTCTTTTTTCGCTATCAAACTTGAAAAACTACTTGTAAATGGCAAATTTATAGCTTCCTCTGAAACAAATGTCTCCCAAGCCTTCAGTATCAAGTACCCTCGACAAAAATGAACTTTGAAAAACTGTTAGGCTCGTTAGCAAGTTTTCAAAAACCACAATTGTAATCCGTTTCAGTCTTCTTCAAGTTTATCCATCCACCACTCTCTTTTAATTTGCGTTGTTAATTATACCTTGTTTTAAATTTTGGAACAGTTATTTTAATGTTTCACTCAGTTCAATGACCTTTCCCACTGTCTGAATTTTGATAAATTTCTGATGACATAGCACCCTAAGACGAGCCAGTCTGGGTCATAAACTGTTGCGATAAATTGTACTATAGGACTGCTTTGATTTTTTGACTGGTCGATTAGAATTTAGGCCAGAACCTGAGTAAATTTCATCCAGCAGACAGTCCCACGTGACAATTCAACAAAACCCGACCCAGTCCAATGCGCAACCACAAAATGGCAAGGCCTGGGGCCTAGGTTGAATGACCAATAGGGACTCAGGCTAAAAAAAAAATGGATCACTGAATTTTGCATTTGAGGTGCGCCTGCCCTCTACTTTATAACAAAAGTTTGCTGTTGCCTCCTGATTGAAACTAAAAGTTTGGTCTCAAATTTGTTTGCCGAACGCACACAGTGACCTCTTTCAGATACTTTTCTTTTCTAGTTAAATCATACCTTTTGTTCTGCTTAATTTCTGAATTGTATCTTTCATCTTATTCTAGGATGAAGAACTTAATTCTCAGGATTAGTCTGAAGTACCGGTAACCATGACTTCGCCTGTTGCCAGTGAATAAGTGAATATCGCGTAAAATGTGTGGTTGTTTGCCCGTTTTAATATAAATTCATAAAAATATGTAGGAGAATATTGATAGATTGGTAATATTGTCAGTAAATTGGAGCGATGGATATTCACTTTTATTAAAAACTGAATCATTGGATAATGCAATACTAGAGCTCTGATTGGCTTAGCCATCATGGTATATGAGCCATCATACCATGCATGCTCTCCAAATATGGTAACTGTACGAGTCTGCTCAAAATTAAAAACAAGCTGAAAATCGGTGATTTTACAAATAAAGTCGGGAAGAATGCTCTATATTTTGTGGATGTGAGATTATTATTGCCAATTCGGCGCTACGCATCTCGTTTGCCATCTACCATCTCATATCCAGGGCGCACTCGTGGAATAATTGTTAAATATAGTCAAAATAAATGCGATCTTTACTTTTCATTCGTTTGAGAGTGAAGGCGAATGAATCAATTTGAGCGTTTTGAGTGCTCTAATACGTGAACGTTTACCTGGGTCAACGTTTTCACAGTTTGTATGGGTCCCCTGTGGGAACACCAAAAGCACGTCACTATGAAGAATAACTGGAGCTTCAAGGTAAAAATTAATGCTGATGTATTTTTTCTTTTTTGTCAGGATTCGCAACGGTGAGAATTTTTAAGCTGGAAACGAAGTCGCACCAAATAGCATTATAGTTTTAATTTATTCTTATAGTGGCGTGAATTAATTCATAATTTTTGTTAACTGAAAATGAAACTAGGTTATGTTCTTTTTGGGTGAAGGTTTTGCCTGAGGTTAAGGTTTTTGGGAAATTAAAATATCAAGCGCGCTGGTTACCGCCGATTTCGTGGCCGCGGTATGATAGGCGCCATTTGGATCACTAATGTGCTCGCGGTTGTCAGTCACTAGCACTGTCCTCCCAATCTGGCTTGCAACAAGGGAAATAGGAGAGGATTGCAGGCAGGCTACCCCCGAAAAGCGTTCGCTTAGGAAAGTGTTGAAAGGATCGTTACCGAATAAAGGCAACGTGAAGTAAAGTAAAGTGAAGTAAAACTTTATTTCAACGGGGTAGCCCATTTAGCTCAAGGGCTGGTTTCCATAAGGGCCCTGCGTCATAAAAATAGTTTATTCGAAATTAGATTTTAAAACCCTAAAAACAATCAAAAATACATTTTAAAAAGCCTAAAATGTTATAAAATTTCAAGGAAATGTCTTTAAAAGTTACGATAAGAAAAAATGCCTTTTTCGGCTGCACAAAGTCTCTATGCTTTCGGCGTTTGCTTAATAGTTCACGGAATTTCATTAAAAATTTGCGCGCCAGTAAAAAGAAAGGTCCTTTTCCCATAATTTAGTTTAACCTTTGGTAAATATAGCCCCATACTCTGCCTTGTGGTGTATACGTAGTTATAAATGTTCGGCGAAAACCTTTTAGCTAGTAAAATATGATAAAAAATAGCTTGGAACTAATGAATAAAGACAGAGAAATAAAAGTTCAGCCTTTTGGTAGGAGTGTCTACCAGAAAAGTCGGCCAGTAACAAGAGCATGAATGATCATTAGCATATTGCATTTTATCGCGGATTAGAGACGGCATAATTTGGTCGTTAGACTTGAGAATTAAGCTTTATCGGGTGAATTAAGGAATGGGTCCCGGAAAATTTGTAGCGGGTTATCTGGTTCAAAGAGGATTAAACCTTCTCAGTTAAACCTTCGTAGGCCTCGCCAAATTTGAAAAAGGATATTGGTTTCATTTTGAATGATGGATTTTCTTGGACATGTAACTCGCCACACCCCTTTTTTTGCTATTTATTTTGGTCCAAATATACAGCGCTTTAAAGAGTCCATTTTCTGAAATTTTTTTATTTTTTTATTGCTTTTTTTTACTATAAGTACAAAGTTTATAGAGCTAATCGAGGTTTTCGAAAATTATTTGTTTTCTGTAAATTGTAACCGTTTCGTTTTCGATAGAGACTGGGGAATAAAGTATTTTAAAATTCTCCGATCAATTTGACATGTTTATTATTAAACTGAATACAATAAAAACAAAATGAAGAAGTTAAGGGTTTGTATATGTGGTGTTATTCTAAAATTTAAAATTTTGCAGTCTTCAGAAAGTGCACTCTCAGCACCAAAATTAGTTCCTTTCATCCGGCCATAGTTATAACGATAATGGGAGTGAGAAAAAAATATATAAACGAGAAAAATAAGGGTAATAGCCAGATATCAGTAGGAGCCATTCCTTGATGCACACGAGTGTCGTTGGCGATACCTGCAAAAATGTAGCGACTGTACAAATGAAATTCAACAGTACAGGGAAAAAGGGTTTGGAAGTTTTGTCTTTCGATTTGTTGAGCTATAAAACGCTTGGCGAATATCGAAGTAACAATTCATTTGACTATATAAATTGCGACACAAGCAAAAACAAGAGCAATGTTTTTTTATTGTTCAATTGATGGAATACTTTTCATCAAGAAACTCCAGCCTATTAAAATATCCAGGCGGGGTCCTGCGTGCTAAACGGCAGTTATTCAAACTCTTAAAGCTTACTATACTACCCAATGAACTACTACATGTATTGATCTTACACGGCTAACTTAAGTGTATGGTAAATCGACAAATTCATCATTTTATTTTTACTCTGTAGAAACCGACGTACGCTTAGATCTATATCATCAAAACTGCTTTAACAATTCATCTAGAAAAAGTACGAGGAACTTATGTTAAGGAGTGTCCATTTTCCTCTTGGTTTCCTGAGCACGTTTTGTTCTTGTTTCTCAGTGTCGCAAGAAAAAAGCTACTGCCTTATTAAGGTATCTATGTACAGAGGTCTTGTCAATAAACATGTTTGTACAGCGACAACTAGCAGAGAATGTTATCATTGGCCATTGAATGAGCCAAATATGAAAAATCTATTATATCATCTTACCACAAATAATTAGGCCTGATTTAGCTGTACTTCTACTAGATTGATTTTCAAAACTGAGTTCTTCGAATGACATTCTTTTAATCACTAATTTCAGCCGGGAAAATGGTTTAAAATTTTTAAACTATCAAGCCAGGCCGTGCGGTTTCAGCAGCAACAGAAACTCTAGAAAAAGCACAAGCTATACACGATGCAATGGGGGGATCTTGCTGATATTCAGACAGAAGTTTTGCGATTTCCTGAAAACCCATGTTGTGTAATCTTGCGTGACTTGCGTTGCAAAGCTGACCTACTGAAAGAAGGCTATTAAAACGAATAACTGCACAGTATACGAGGACGTTCGGTCGAATACAATTTCGAAAACCTTTGTAATGCGAACAAAATTTTTGAGTCCGAAAATTTCGTATATTGGAGGTTGTGTATATATTGCTGGTAATTCCAGTTAACTGGTGTCTCTATCCCCTGCATGGAAACGTACTTCTCAGTGTTAATGAATTACTCGGCAAGCTCCACTTCCGGGCCACTATAGTTACAAAAGCCGTTGAAATAGTCTTGCTTTCAGACACCTTGAGTACGCACGCAATGCCTGTCTTATCAAAATGATCAATATGACGGAAAGTGTGTTCATAGATTTCTTAACTATGGGTCTGGGGTTGAAAGATCTTTGCGCTACTTTACTGTCTTTGCTCTTGTTGTAGTTTATGTTCTTCTTATTCAGCTTCACTGCGATTTTTGTTGCGTTCGAGGTCTTCGTACTCGCTTTGCGGACAACAGTCACAACAAGAAACACGGCACCAAAAAAATTCCAAAACAAGCACAATTAATGTTGAAAGTATTGAAAATATAGTCGCAGCTACAAGCACGCCTTTATCCTGTTTATCCAACCTTTTGTACTCCTCTAACCCACTGAAGGCGTCGTAAGTTTCCTTAACAAGGAAATAAGCTGTAGCACCATGAATGATACACGGCAATACGAATCCTGTTGTTTCGATAATGAGAAAGACAATAACAAATATACAAAGAACCTTGCATGAATCACGATCCAAACAACAT